TGAAAGATGAGAGTCAGATACGAGAGAAGTAGGTGAATGCGTAGGTTGAGTTAAAGGAATGGTGTTATCATTTGATTGTAAACCATCATTGTTAGAAAGAATCGGTAGGCTGAACCTGCGACTATCTCTACTTTCTCTATAGTTATTTAACATAAAGTCTTTGCCAAGATCAAGTTCAAAATCTTGGAATTCAAAGTCAATATCAGCATATTCGAGATCATTACCACAATCTATTAAAAAAAAATAAAATAAAATAAATAAATAAAAATTAAATAAAAATTAAATAATAATAATAAATAAATAAATTAAAAAAAAAATTAAATTAAATAATATATAATAATAATAAATACCTTCATAAATATTAAGTACATTAACAATATCACCATGTTCTAAAACATCACCTACGAGATCGCGAAATCGCAATGCAACCATACTAACATCATAAAGTAAACCTACTTCAAGAGGTTCATGAATAGATCTTTCTTCAATACCACCATATTTAAAAGCATATTCAGCCTCGATTTGTCTGGCCAACCTTTCGACCGTATATGTTTTTTCAATAGTAACAGGAAATGAGATAGTTGGAGAAATATTTACGGTGAGTTTTATAAAAGAGGAAATATGTTGCATAGTTCTTGATAACCTCTTTTTATGAATGTGAGTAAATTGACGTGAGGAACGAACGGAAGGAGAAATTAAAGAGGAATGATTGTTGTTATCAGGGGCGGAAGTAGAGGAATCAATCAAAGGAGTATCACTATTAAGGGTAGAAACTTCATGTGCAATAGTGCTTGCAAGACTTGTATGAGAACTTTTCCTTGAATCATCATCCACACTATATATATGATTTTGTGTTGATACAGAAGACAATGGATTTATCTCGTGATTTGTCATTGTCCTCGAAAGAGAATAATTATCAGCGTATGCCATGATACGCCTTCTTGCAGTTCGTAGCGAAGCTATATTATACGATTCTGTAGCAAGATTATTACTGTATGGTAGAACAAAACCGTCGGATGAATTTTGATAATCCATTGTTTTAATGGAATCAGCTACTTTATAAGTTTACAGAGGCAAGTGCCAGATTTTAACACTAAGAATTATATTATCACGAACTTATCAGCATAAAACTAAGCATGTAATATAAAAGAACGAACACATTAAAAAAGATTTGGCTGAAAAAAGTAAAAAATGGTAAGAAATATGACAAAATTATATACTTTTGATATGTTTTTTTTTCTTTTTACATATAACCAAATAAAGGAAATTTAACTGTGAATCATTACAATGAAACAAGGGGTGATTCCGTACCCGACGACCATTATCGTAATTATATGTAACGATTAAAGTACCTAATTTTTGTTATCAACCAATAGAAAACAAAAACGGTGGATTTCGTAGTATGCAACCGTTACCGATTCTGGTTTTGTGTCAATATACTAAATATAATTTCTAGAATATAAATATAAACAAACTATAAAATGTATACCGTTCTATTTATCGATTCATTTTCCATCCAATAATATTATTTATGCATAATTTGTATCGTTACCAACGTGTGTACATACGGATGAACATATCGATATACATTATATATATCAGTTCCCGATTTTATTTGTTCGGTAATACGTTCGTAATGCATATAATGACATTCTTGTTAGCTATATTAAATTACGTGAATGTCTAATACACATTTATGAGTTTTGACTTAACAAAAAAGATACATTTAAAATTTATAAAAGGAAACAAGGAGATAGTTTTGCACCTATTTTTATTTATTCATTCATTTATTTGTTTTAAAAAAATATAAAGTATACTGTCAAATACATATAAAGAACCGAAACAGAGCTAAACTAATATAAAAACTAGAATTTACAAATGATCTATGACGGAACGAAATCTTTCAGGGTCTCTGAAATAAAAGATCATCGTAAAATTCTATAAGCAGCTTCTTTTAAACCTAAATCCCTCCCTTGTAATATATATATATATAAAGTAATATCTGGCTATACAAATGTTTTTTTTGATTTTTTTGATTTTTGATTTTTTTTTTAAAAAATATTTTTATCATTTTTATCGTGAAAATAAAATAAAATATAACAGTAACATGTTTATCGCAGCTAATTTATAAAAAATATATATATATATTAATGATCAGAATATGACTAATTAACTCCTTGCATGGGTTGGGAAGTCGACGCTTGACCTTCATCATCACCTGGTTCACCATCTTCTGGCTCTTTAGGTTTCCTTTGTTCCCTAATAACTGCTTCAACAACTGGACCGATCCTTCCATGAAATCTTTTTAATAATTCTTCATAATGAGCATTGTTTTCTGCCGGGAAGGACAATCCATTCAAAATTTCTAATTTCTCGGCTATTTTTTCAGGTGGAATTTCCCCATGATCACCATGACGTCCATGATGCCCATGTCCATGCCTTTGATGGAAGTATGGATGCCCATGAATACGTGGTCCAAACCCGCAATGATGTCTGGGTCTCTCATCGCCACTGGAATTTAATCTCACTTTCTTATCGCACTTTCTATTATGACGCGGATGACGTTCATGTTCTCCAGTACTAGGACCTGATTTATCCATTTCAGGTTCTTTTTCTTTTTCTGATTTATCCGCAATTATTTCGTATCCATATCCTCTATCAGGTTTATTCATATGCTGTTTATGCCCGCGGAATCGATGCCCACGATGGTGAGGATGTCCTCCTTCACCATGTTTATGTACTCTACGCCCATAACCCCTGCCATGATGACCACGAAAACGTTCCGTAAAAGGACATTCGCTTGGTCCACCATGAGATTCAAGTTTAACTGATCCAGAGTAATTACGTCTTGGTCCATGATGAGATCGTTTTCGAGAAACGAAAAAGTATATTTCTGGATCAGAGCTACTACAACCTTCCGTATGTCCTTGTTCATGAGCTTCATCTGCGGAACAAGTAATATCTTCACAAGCTTCTCCGCATATTTCTTTGCAGGTTCCTTGTTCCTCTGCCTCTTCAGTCTCAGAATGGGAATATAAAATAGCTTCGTAAGGTTCTTCATCGTCAAGGCTTATTTGTTCAAGTGCTGCGGCAGTTTCTTCCAAGGTCGGATTAGTTTTCAAAACGATTTTAATAGCGGTACCAGCCAAACTTTGGGAATGAACTTCTGCGAGTTCTAAATCGCTTGAAAGTGTAACATTATCTCCATCATCATCGGTATAAGTAGCAATCACTTGAGCATGAGATGGGATTTGGAAAAGGGTCCTAAGTTGAGATTCTAACTTTGCCCAAGTAGTATCAGCTCCGATAGTGAACCGACGAGAAACTGACCCATAAATAACTTTGACAGCTGTCATATTGATATAGGTATATTGGTCCGTTCAAAAAAAAAAAAAAAAAGTAAAAAAAAAAAAAAGAGTTTGTAGGTATTAACGATAAGGTGGCTTCCAATTTTTCTTACGGAAGTGTTTTTGTTAATGTGAGTGGAGACTTTTCGTCTGCCCTTTTTATAATTCTTTTTTTTGTTCAATGTTTATAAAATCGGAAATGTTTTTCCGGCTGTGCTACAATCATTACATTTTTATATTGTTCCCAACGCCTATACGTAGCATACGCCGCCAAAATCACGTAATTATAAATGAATTCTCAAGTGATTTGATCACGTACGTATATATTATATTATAAGCAAAATTCTAGAAGTATCTGGCAATAAGTTCTGCGGTATCGGTATTACGCAGAAACAGCCACAAGAAAATGTAGCTACGTCATGATTAAACCCAGAACCAATAACGAAGCCTTTTTAATAATAGAGTATCACGTTTATTGTGTTTCGGAGCTTTAACTATGACGTAAGGAGGGCAGCTAGACTTTTCCGCAGTATCGGTATTATGCGGAAACAGCCACAAGAAATGTAGCTTACGTCATGATTAAAACTTGGAACCAATAACTAAAGTTTTTTAATAATAGCATATCACGTTTATTGTGTTTCGGAGCTTTAACTACGACGTAAGCTACATTTTTTTTGTGGGCGGTACTAACTTTTTTTACAAAAGAAAGAAGTTGATATAACATTGTGGCCCTTTCAAGAACTAAAAATGGGTTTCAAATCTTTTAATCAGTTTAAGGCCGTTTTTTTATAATAAATATGCTTTAGAAGTGTTATTTATAGAACAATGTAGGCTGATTTTCTGAATAGTGATGTTAACGTTAAGTAATCCACAAAGGACCAGACTTTTTAGAGCCGGTCCGAAACTAGTCCAAATAAAAGTGAATCATGAACAATACTTTTGGCATTCCGTTTTCATGAATTCTGAAACACCTGATAAAAATTTTAGCCGAATGATTTTTCGGCCGATCCGGTTATTAACTCCGGCACAATTAGCTATTTTCATGATTTCTGAAACACCTGATAAAAATTGACCGTATGATGCTTCGGCCGATTCGATTATGATTTCGTCAAAATAAATACAAAATTATACAAGTACGTATGCACGTGCAGTGATGGCACATGACCTCTTATGACCACTATGACCTTTATGACCAGTCATAGGTCATAAGGTCATAAAATATAATATATGATATGACTTATGACCTTGGTCATAGGAGGAAGATCGTCTGATTGGCTAATTTTTACAGATCTACCCGTAATTACCTGTGACAATTAGCC